GTGCCACCAACTGAGGGCCAAATCTTCAACACAGGGGTCTTCAAAGGACATTAAGAGTCAAAGTATTGCAGGAAGTAAGGCTAGAATTTTAAGGAAAAGTTAGATCAAAATGGCAGTGTGATGGAAGCAAAATATGAATTATTTTAACAGCTGGTGTCAGAGTTTCTCTTAGGGAGGTTACTATATTTTTTGAGGCAATACTTTGAATGCTCTTTACTGTTGGCGACAAGACATGAATTTCATCAGGGACTAAAATAAAAATTTTAAGAGATGGCTAAAATGATCATCCTAAAAGAAAAAAAAGTCTTAATTCCTGAAGAGGGAAGGAAAAGGAAAATCAGGAATATAATGTGCAGTTGAAGACCATGTAAAGTAAAGAGCTAGTAAGAAATTTCAGAATTAGAGCAGTTAAAAAGCATTTCAAAAAAAAAAAAAAGGATGCCTAATGCTCAATTTGAAGTCATTTGCATTGGTGCAATGTAAACGCTTCCAAAATTAGTTTTGTGTCAGTTAATTTTATGGGCAAATTCTAGGAGATTCCATAAGTATTTGGAGATTTAAAAAGAAACAGAATTTCACATGAGTTGCTACAAACGCACTATCCACGAAAACCTGAGCCCAAAAGAAGGGTGTGATGCAAAACATGCTCCCCACAGAGACACAGAAATCTTAGAGAGGAACTCAAGTTTCCTAGGGTTTGAGGTGACCTTATTTAGCTCCCAGTGGGCAGCTCTACAGCTTACAAATGGGTTACATAAACCAACCATGAAGAATTTCAATTTTTGTCTTGGAAGTGATAGAGAGCCACAGAGGTAACTGGTGTGCCAAGATAGACATGCTCAGAGGTTCATGAAAAGAATGATAACTAAACACTGATTCAGGGTTGGGAGAGCAATGGAAGAGTGTTGCAAATTATAAGTGGGAAAAATTATTATACATGGGACATTAAAAATAAACTCATCCAGCACAGAATACAATGCTGTGACTGACAGAGTGACAAGAGACCAAATAATGGTTTGGATCACTGATTCATTGTATCATACTTCAAATTTCTAGCAGAGGGAAAGCCTAAAATTAGCTTCTCAAATATTGAGAACATTTAAGAAATCTTATTAACATTAACACATGGCAAATGGGAAATGATGTGTAAACACCTTTTTAGAGAACATTGACATTTTCTCAGAAATGGTTCATGGAAGAGCCATCTTTCTTATCATCCACAAACACTTTTTGAGGATGAACTTGCAATGAGACACTGATAGATCCAGGTGACTTGTATTAAAGAGCAAAAAAGAAAATCCAATCTCCTTTTGGAGTCAGTATAACACTGAAGTTGAGAACATGAGTTTTGAGTTTAAACAGAATCCAGTTTAGACCATGCTCTATGCCTTACTGATTGTGTGATCCTGGACAAGTTATTTAACCTCTCCATGACTCTTTATAAATCTATAAATGAGAGTTAATAACAATAACTTTATTAAAAGAATAAGAAGAATTAAACATCAACAATAATGTTTAAGCACTTAAAAAACAACAATAGCTTATTACATTTAATATCTGCCACACTATGTAAAGCACATTATATGTACCTTTTAATCTCATAAAACTCTTGTGAGAAATCATGGCATTTGCAGGTAAATGGATGGAGTTAGAGAAGATAATGCTAAGTGAAGTTATCCAATCCCAAAAAACCAAATGCTGAATGTTTTCTTTGATATAAGGAGGCTGACTCATAGTGGGATAGGGAGAGGGAGCATGGGAGGAATAGATGAACTCTAGATAGGGCAGAGGGGTGGGAGGGGAAGGGAGGGGGCATGGGGTTAGAAATATGGTGGAACATGATGATTATCATTATCCAAAGTACATGTATGAAGACACGAATTGGTATGAATACACTTTGTATACAACCAGAGATATGAAAAATTTTGCTCGATATTACAATTCTTATAATAATGCATTTTGCTGCCATATATAAAGAAAAAAAGAAAAAAACTCTTGTGAGGCAGATATTATTATAATCCTCATCTTACAGATGAGATAATATATGCATTGCACTTACATAGTACATTATCACTAAATGTAAACTAACAGTATTACAGGTAAGTTTGTTGTAAAAGAGCAAATGTTAGAAAGAAGAGCCAGAGGTTATCTCATGACCTTTTCTACATCTATCACCCTTGGACACTACCTAGTAGCCTGATAGTAGGGAGATTTTTGAAATTGTTTCTGCAGTAACTCTACCACTTTTTAACTATTTAGTCTGCAATAAGGTATCAGATATTTTTTCTATAGCACAATGGCATGCTCAAAGCATGTTTAAGAAACATTGACTCTGCAAGGGTATGTAGAAGGAATAGGAATAACAAAAGGGAGGCAGAGAAACCAGCTAAGAATTAATATTAATATTGGAAGAGATAAGGTAAGCTAAAGATAAGGTAAAATAAAGAATATTTTTGAGAGATTTTAGAAATTTTTGCTTGTCTATACATAGGGATAATGACCTGTCAGTTTTATTTTCTTTTAATGTCTTTGTCTGATTTTTGAATTAGATTAATGCTGGCCTCCTAAAATGATTGAGAAATAATCCATCCTCTGCAACTTTCTGGAAGAGTTTCCATAGAATTGATATGATTTCTTCCTATTATGATATAAAGTCAGTCTGTGATTTCTGCATGCATAGGTTCAACCCACTTCAAATCAAAAATATTTTTAATTGCATCTCTACTGAACATGCACAGACTTTTACTTGTCATTATTCCCTAAACAACAGAGTATGATAACTATTTACATGGCATATACATTCTATTATGGATTAAAAGTAATCTAGAGATTATTTAAAGTAAACAGGAGGGTGGGCATAGATTTTATGCAAACTCTACATCATTTTATATAAAGAGCTGAGCATCCACAAATTTTATTCCACAAAGATATTAAGAGATGACTATCTCATACATATGTTATAAACTCCACAATACACTGGGAGTTTGTTTGTTTGTTTAAAATGTAAGATATATTTTAAGTAGATTTAAACACTAAGTAAAACTAAAACAGTGTTTTGCATTTCTTTGTCTACTTTGCTTTTCTACCTGGTAACATTTACCTTCTACAAAAAAGATGTTCTTTAAACTTTCTTGTAGTGAGGGTCTTCTGGTAATTAATTCTTTAAGTTTTTAAATATCTGAGAAGGTCTTTATTTTGCCTTCATTTTTGAAAGGTAATTTTGCTGGGTATAAAAATCCAGGTGACAGGTTTTGTTTGCTTTTCATGTTTTAAAGATTACTCCATACTCTTCTTATTTCAATTGTTTCTGATGATAAATCTGGAACTGTCTATATCATTGTTTTTCTGTTCATGTATCTTTTGTGTCTGGATACTTTGAAGATTTTCTATCATTTTTAGAGATTTGATTATGATGTGCATTAATGTGTCTTTCTTTAAGTTTCTTGAACTTGGGATTCCTTGAGCAACTTGGACCTGTAGATTCATAGTTATTATCAAATTTAGAAAATATTTGGCCATTAATTTATTCAATTTTTTATGTTTTTCACCCTACTCCATGGAATTCAACTAAACATATATTGTTCCTGAAATTGTTCCACAACTCACTGTTCTATTAATTTTAAAAAATTCACTTTATTTTTATTTTTTAAAGTTTCCTTTTTTGTTTGTTTGTTCATTTTTGAGACAGAGTTTTGCTATGTTACCCAGGCTGGATAAAACTTCTGAATTTGAGTGATTCTCCTGCTTCAACTTTCCAAATATCTGTGATTATAGGTGCTATTTTGAACAATTACTATTAGTATGTCTTCAGGTTCATTTTTTCTTATGTATTTATAACCTACAGTTAATCTTATTCATGGTATCTTTCTTCACAAACATTGTAGTTTTCATTTCTAGAAGTTTGGCTTGGATCTTTTTAATATGTCTTATCCACATCTAACTTTTTGAATGTATAGAGAATATTTACAAGGACTTTTAATATCTTTGACTGTTAATTCTAAAATCTATGTCATTTAGTGTCTAACATCTGGCTAACTATGCCTGACTGAATTTTTGAAGGAAGATTGACTTTCTTGCTTCTTTGCAAGAAATCTTTGGGTACCAGACATGATGGGTATTGTGTATTCTTTTATTCCTATAAGCATTCTTGAACTTTTTCTAGGATGCAGACATCTTATTTGGAAATAGTTTAGTCTTATTGGGTCTTGCTTTCAAGATTTGTTAGGTGAGACCAGCACTTAATCAGACTTAACTATTTCCCACTAGTAAGGCAAGACCAGTCCAAGTATTTTACCAAATGCTCCATGAATTATGAGATTTTCCAGACTGAATTATAGGAAGAGGTACTATTCCTAGACTGTGCTGGTGCTGGGCACTATTCTTTTTAACTTCTTGGATGATTCTTTATCCAGTCTAGATAATTTCTTCAAACACACACATTAATAAACACTCTTCTCAATGCTTAAATCTTAATACTTTCTCAGGCACTGGCCACATTTCATGATCTCAATTACCATATTTAATTACTGGCCAATGTTTGGGGCAGCACAGATATTGGAACATTTCTAGCATTGCAAAGACTGCTATGCTGAAGTGTTGTTCTAGACTCGGACTCAACTGGCCTCAAGCCTTCATTTAGTCTGTCAGTAAATCTCAAAATGTATTGTGCCTTTGGATCATCTGGGGATCTTGTTGCAATACAGATTCTGATTCAGGATTCTGCTTGGTATGTGAGCTTCTTCATTTCTAGCAACATCCCAGTTGATGAAAAGCTGTAGGTCAGCAGACTGTATTTGAATAATGCTATAAACCCATGGATACATGTCCCCATACATTATTAACTTGGTATGTGTTCCTTTCATGAGAAAAGTTGTACTGGAAGAAACAAGACATAGCCTGACAACAAGTAAGGATCAGTGTAACATCTCTTAAGCTTTTTTATTTTTATCCAATAGTTTCAGTACCTGATTGTTGGGGTTTAAGTGTGCAGAGTTTAGCTCCCTCAGGCCTGACTTTTTGCAAGAGCTGTGGCTGTGATTTAGGTCAGCTGAGGCAAACCTCAGCTAGGAGGAGGAAACGTTCTCTTCCCCTTATCGCAAGGCACAAGTTCTGCATGGTTTGGCCAAGAGGAAGAAGCTTCCTGCATACTTATCCTGGGAACAGTACATTCTGAAGAAACAAATGCATCCTCAGAGGAGTAGATAATGTCTACAAAGAACTTTAGGAGGGTACTTATCAAACAAACAGGAACAATCTGAATCTAGCTCTGTGTATCCGCTGAGGCATGATATTTGGGCAATGTGGGCAACGTGATATTAAAGAATTGCTTGCTTTGTTAGAAGAAGTGTATAAAAGGAACTTGCAAATAAACCTCAGCATGCAGTTGCGATTGCTGCCTTGGCTCTGCATCCCCTGTGTCCCGGTTATTTCGTGACCCTTACCCAGGGACCCGAACGCTCTAGACGTTCACAATTGGCGCCCAAACAGGGACCCTGTTGGATTGTCAGGAAGGGTAAGTTATTTTTCTTTATATTACAGGGTGATGGGACAATCTTCATCTTCTCCTTTTTTACGTATTCTTAGGCATTCACTTGCTGTCTATGGTATTAACATTTCCCATTCTGATATAGAGATGTGTCTTAAGGTGGTCAGGGAATGGAATCCCTGGTTCCCGGAGGAAGGATCTATGGATGCAGATAATTGGAAACGGGTCCGTCACAATGTTGAAAAGGCCATGAGGCAAGGTGAAAAAATTCCAATTCGGTTTTGGTCTATCTGGTCTATTTTATATACAATGTTTAAAGCTATGGAGGAAGAAAGATTAATTGGCAACTTACAAAAGGAGTTAGCTCCCTCTATTTTAGATCTCCCTCTGGATGTTAGTGAAAAAGAAGAGGTAGTAAAAGATACGCAACAATTGACTCATAATTCTTCACAAAATTCTGCTGATTTAATTGGTACCGCTACGGAAAAGAAAACGAAAGTAAAAACGATGATTGATGATCGCTCCGTTTCGGAGCAATTCAAACTTGTTATGGAGGAGGTTTTGGGACGTCTTAATAAATTAGAAGCTAAAATGGACCCTAAGCTTTTATCAGGAACCAGGCCCTCTGCCCCTCCGGCCACCAATCCTTTTTTGGCAGCTTCTTTAAAGGCTGTCCAGGAAATGGACTCAGAACCTTCTGACGATGAGGATGAAACTCCTTTCTTTGCTTTTCCTATAATCAGGCCTGATCCAGTTAATGGAATGGCACATCCACCTCGGTATGAGGGGATTGATATTGATCATATTAGCAGATTAAAAAGGGCAGTGACAATGTACGGACCTCAATCCCATTATGTAAAAGCATTGCTTAATGCTTTTGCTACTCATTACAATAATTTTGCTCCTGAGGATTGGAAGATTGTGAGCCGTGCTCTTCTACAGGAACCTGAATATCTTCAGTGGCACATGTGGTTTTTAGAAGGATATGCCACTAAGGCTAGAGAAAATGGTAACAGTCAAAACCCTGTTATTCGTGCCATAGGATACCCTATGTTATCTGGCACTGGTATGTATGATGACATTCAACATCAAATTAATATTCCTCCTGAGATTCATGAGCAATTGAAGGAAATAGCTTTAGAAGCTTGGGACAAAATTAGACCTTGTTATTGCTCCAGTACATAGGAATTATGTAAAGTGTTAAAGCAACTATATATATTTAAATTGTGTGTGTTAAAGATTAAGAAAAAAGATAATAATTATTTTTCCTAAATGAAATAACATTCTTCTCTCCACCAAAATTTTTTTCTGAAGTTAATGGCATTTAAGTCAAAGTTTTATTAAAAGCTACATTTTATAACACTGGCACAAAAAAAGTAGTTTTAAGCTTGTTTGCACAGTTCTTTTTTTCCATTGGAAATGGAATTCATTGCCTTAGGTCTTTTTAAGTAGTGTATTATCGTTGGGGCTAACTCTATGCTTAAAAACCAGTTTATTTATAACCTGTTGTAAGTGCTATATTCTGTTTGCAATTAGGAAATGAAAAATTTTAAGTGATCTCCTGGCTTGTAAACAAACTGAGATGCACTATCCCTTTTCTATATAAAAATGAGTTAATATGTCAATAAATCAACTCAACAAGGTGGGTTTAATATTACCCTTTCCTATGTGTTTTATCTAATTCTTTTGGTTGTTAATATGGTGATAAATGAAAATCAAAATAAATTTTAAATATTAAGATTTCCGATTTATTGAGCTTGAATTATGCCACCATGCTTATGTAAAAATAAAGGTGGCACCATGGTAAAACTTAATAAGAAGTAATTTCTCAGTTGTAATAATTTTGATTTCTCTTTCTTGTGATCTCTCCTTCCCTGTTGTCTTGAACCATAGCAAAAAGATACTATATCTCTCATTACTATAGTGATGAGGTTATTGAAGTTATATAAACGCATCTCAATCTCTGTTTCTTTAAAAGGTATCTATTAAGTCCTGCTAGGTGATTGACAAGACTAAGTAGGGAAAATAAAGGTAAATATGATTCATGTTTTGCACACAAATGCAAAATTTTATAACCACATGACTTCATAATTGTGATCTCAAAAAAATTTCTCCTTTAATTTTTCTTGCAGTTAATGTAAGAATACTCTAAATCTCTAAGCTTCTAAAGTATTAGAAGTAAAGATGATCTAGTAAAGATGTAATTTATCCATTTAACATGTGTTTATTTTTCCTTATGTACTCAAGGTGATTTATTTGTTCAGCTCAGTGATATTACAGCTAAAAAACATTCATTAGCAAAAGGAGAAGCAGTCTACATCTAACAGAGGAATCAAAAATGTTTCTTATTTTTGTTGAATTGAATGTTTGACTCTAACACTTTTCTACATACAAAACATAGATTCTCCAAAAATATTATGCCATATGCTGACCAGATCGCATTATTAATTGAACAAGGAAGACAGAGAAGTATAACTTTGACGGGCAATGACATTTCTCACATAATTACCCCATTACCTAAAGACCAATGGACTTACTTGGTACAAATGACTGAAATGCTACAAATAGCGTTGGCTGAATATACCGGAGGTATTTCCTATAATTTCCCCAAGGGCAAATTATGGGACATGCTAAAACGTCAACAATTTGTAATCAATAATATTATTAGTGAATATCCTTTAGACAATGTTGTTACTGTGTTTACTGATGGATCAAAAACTAAAAGTGCTTATTGGACAGAGAATCAATATTGGGTTCAAATAACAAACTATCAATCTGTTCAACAAAATGAATTATTTGCAGTCATTCAAGTTTTAAATGATTTTGATAATCAAGACATTAACATTCTTACTGACTCTGCATACACGATGGGAGTAGTTAAAAATATATTTACTGCAATAGCTTATTCTAATAAACCTACTCTACAAAATCTTTTTCATACTTTACAAAAACTTTTACAAGCTCGTAATGCTCGCATATTTATAGATCATATTAGATCACACTCTAAATTACCAGGATTTTTGACATATGGTAATGCTCAGGTAGACAAATTAGTGATGTTCAAAACTCCTCAAGAAGAACATAATCTGTTTCATTCTAATGCCGGACATTTACACATTAAATATAAGATTCATATAAACAAGCAAAACAAATTATTAAAAATTGCCCAGTTTGTCGACCTTTACATCTTAGGATTGTACCTTCCAGAGTAAATCCTAGAGGGATTCAACCTAATGAATTATGGCAAATGGATGTTACACATGTTCCCTTGTTTGGACGTTATTCTTGTGTTCATGTTACTATTGACACATACTCTAAATTTTTGTGGGCTACCGCTCAAATTGGAGAAACCACCAGTCATGTTATTCAACACTTAGTGGAAACATTTGCTATTATGGGAATTCCTGCTATGATTAAAACTGATAATGGTCCAGCTTATACTAGTAAAAATTTTAAAGATTTTTGCAAATTATATGATATTGTTCATCTAACTGGAATAGAATATAATCCACAAGGACAAGCTTTAGTAGAACGTGTACATGCTACGCTTAAAACACAAATTAAAAAATTAAAAAGGAGGAAAATGACAGATTTAAATATGCACTTGTTTAGACATTTACAAAATCAACCTAAAGCATTGTTACATCAAGCCTTATTTATTTTAAATTTTCTTAATCTTCCACAAGGAGAAATATTGACAAGAGCAGAACGACATTTTGAGCAAAAAACCTTAGAAACAGTTCATGAACCAATTTGGATAAAAATTGCAGCAGATGCTGAATGGCAGCCAGGGATTTTACTTTATAGAGGAAAGGGTTATGCTTATGTTTCAACAGAAAATGGACACCAGCAGTGGCTCCCAGGGCGGTGGATCCAGACCCGTCACAATCAGAACGGCACCAAGGGGGGCACCCTATCCATTACCCCAGCCGAGGAATCAAGATCCTGAGCTTGATGTTTCGGTGGCAGCAATGGCGCATCTTCATCTTGGGGCCCGATGTCGTCGACGTCTTAATTTCTCTCCCTTACCTGTGTGGGGTCAAATTAAAAAGCTGAGTGGGGAAGGGCAGAAGGTGCTGCAACGAACAGGGAAGAATTGCACCCCAGAAAATTTATTTCTGGCTATGTGTGCATTATTGACAGTGTCTTCCGCTTCTGAGGTACAAAATAATAATACTCACTATTGGGCCTATATTCCCAATCCACCTTTGCTGGAACCTGTTACTTGGGGTGACATGGATATTACCTTATATACTTCTCCTGCTCTTTTATCTCCCCCTTGGAACAATTTAACATATATGAATATTAATGATGGAACACCATTTAATTTTACTTATAAGAATAATAACAGTAAACCTATATGCTTGGGCATTCCTCCTTGCTTACAATTAGATTGGCAACATTGGATACTAGTTGGAAATTGGAGTAATAGTTCTCGAACACGTTTACAATGGTTGTCTGCATGGTCCGTCAATATGACCTGGGATAATATAACTGAACAAAAATACCCTATGTTCCCTGAGTGCCCCAATTTTACTTATCAGGACTTAAGATACTCCCCTTTCATATGGCAGGAATGTTTAGGCAAATTTGGGAAGATATTTCAGAATATTATCATGTGGGGTCCTTACGGGATGTTCTTAAAAAATTGTTCAGAATGGAATATTACTGCTTGTGATTTATCTTCTACATACAGAATCCCGCCGAAAGAGAGATGGAATGAAACCATTCGGAACTACAAATTGATGGCCTGGGGTGATGGCGAAATTGCTGATCCATGCTTGGCTTCAGTGCAATACGCTCATCATTTACAAACACATTTATGGAAAATTGCTGCTGCAACTAAACCTGTAACTTTGTCTAATGGCTCTTTCTCTGGGACTAGTCAATCAGCTGCTTCTTATAATTTTACTGTATTTAAAGAATATAATATAACCACATGTGTGCCCATGCCATACCTGCTCTTAATTGGAAATGTTACTTTTGATGAGGGAATTTTATGCTTTAATTGTAAATTGTATACCTGTATTAATACATCTGTTTCTATTCCTCCTGGTTATTCCATTGTGCTGTTACAACAGCGCTCTCACATTTGGCTTCCTGTAAATTTGCAAAGAACATGGTCCCAAGATCCTGTAAATGCTTTGGTTCTGGAATTTTTTAGACAATTGTTAAAACATACTAAACGGTTTGTGGGAGTTGTTGTTGCTGTAATTCTAAGTCTTATTGCAGTGACTACAGTTGCTACAGTTTCAGGGATAGCTTTACATACTTCTTTACAAACAAAACATTTTGTTGAGGAATGGCATAAAGATTCGCATGAGTTATGGCTATCCCAGACTCAAATTGATTCTAGACTTCAAACTCAAATAGATATTTTAAAACAGACAGTTAATTGGTTAGGAAAAAAGATACTCACCTTAGAACAAAAAAATTAGATTAAAATGTGACTGAAATTCAACTTCTTTCTGTATAACTAATGTACATTATAATAAAAGCTTACACGAATGGAGTATCATACAAAATTATCTCGATGGTAATGATACAGCTCAATTAATGATTGATTCTTTACAAAAGGATATATTTGAAATTTTTGGAAAAGGGTTTCAACATGATGATGCTGCACAAATAGCTGAATTGTTTTTAAAACAGTTAGAGGGATTAGATCCCAAAGGAATTGCTCAAAGTCTTACCCATACGGCTGGAGGAGTGGGAATAGTGTTATGCTTAGTTATTATCCTGGTTATAATTATATATTGCATGTGCATAACACCATCTCAAAACTCTATATTAACTTTGTGGAAAGCTGTTTTAGAAAAACAAAAGAAAAAAGAAGGAATTGTTGGGGTTTAAGTGTGCAGAGTTTAGCTCCCTCAGGCCTGACTTTTTGCAAGAGCTGTGGCTGTGATTTAGGTCAGCTGAGGCAAACCTCAGCTAGGAGGAGGAAACATTCTCTTCCCCTTATCGCAAGGCACAAGTTCTGCATGGTTTGGCCAAGAGGAAGAAGTTTCCTGCATACTTATCCTGGGAACAGTACATTCTGAAGAAACAAATGCATCCTCAGAGGAGTAGATAATGTCTACAAAGAACTTTAGGAGGGTACTTATCAAACAAACAGGAACAATCTGAATCTAGCTCTGTGTATCCGCTGAGGCATGATATTTGGGCAATGTGGGCAACGTGATATTAAAGAATTGCTTGCTTTGTTAGAAGAAGTGTATAAAAGGAACTTGCAAATAAACCTCAGCATGCAGTTGCGATTGCTGCCTTGGCTCTGCATCCCCTGTGTCCCGGTTATTTCGTGACCCTTACCCAGGGACCCGAACGCTCTAGACGTTCACACCTGATACCTCTACTTTTACACACAAGTTAATTTCCTAAAGACACATTCAGGAGGGTGAATTTCGTATTTGCCAAATCTCAATGTGAATAGAACATTTATTCTCAAGGGAGAAAATTGTGTTTAGTGATATATTGGAGCTGATTCATACTAACTTATGAGAGTTGATTGTTAAAATTTCAGAAATTTTGTGAGCCAGTTGTTAAATCCAGCCATTATTCAGTTATCTTTATTTTAAATTATATTTCAAATAAAGATAACTACACAAACTCACCACTTCCTAATTATTTTACAACTTTACTATTTTTGCTAGACATAACTTTTTTTTTTACTATTTTTCTACTAGGTAACTTCTTGGGATTATTAGCATCTATTTTAGCTGATGCTTTGGTTTGAATGTGTTTATCAGGTGTTCACATGTTGCAAACTTAATTCCAACATTCATTTACTAATAGTAGTTGGAGGTGAGGCTTTTGAGATGTAATTAAGATTAAATAAGTTATGATGGTATCAATGGCTTTATAAGAAGAGGAAGAGAGAACCAAATTAGCATACTTGTTCTGTCTCCCCTGATGATACTGCATAATGACGAAACAAAGAAGGCTTTCATCAAATGTCAAGCAGATGGTAGTACCAAACTTTTGGACTTCCTGTTCTGTGGAACCATAAGACAAATAGAATATCAGAAGCTAGAAGTTCCCTGGTCTCAGGCATTTTCTTATAGTAACAGAAATTGGACCAAGACATCTTCCAGTGGTAATACTGTGTATTAGTGGGCTACCACAAGTTGGTAGTTTGAGATCAGCTGTGGTAAAAGTATTTACACCACAGAAACAAATAAACATTGCAAATAAGAACTTTTTCCTCCTCCCCAGAAGGCTGGTTGTTACACATTTACCAGCACACCTCTGATGGTAGTACTTCAGAAATGGCAAAAAATTGACAGAAATTCAACTACCTCTCCAACTGATATTTTCTATCAAGTCTTACAGCTACCTGAGATCAGACAATTTGAAACACAAGAGAAACATGATAGTAAGCCTAGAAAGAAAAAGATGGCATACCCACGAATAAAGTCTAGATTCTTAGACCAAATAATCTGGCATGCCATGTAATGCAGCTTCTTATCCATTGTAGGAACCATGAAGCTATACAAGGTCTTAAGAAAGACAAACAGGTTTGGTTTTAGCTGGAATAGAGATCCCTATCACATATGTGCTGGTGACAAAAGTTATTAATGCAGGATTGTTCCTTTCCGTGTGCTTTCTGACTTTCCACTTCCCCCAGAAAGATCACATAGTATCTGGCTTTGCCATCACAGATTCTAGATCTATGATGCAAAATTGGGAGAATGGGTAAGAAGAATAAGAACAGAAATGTAGGGTTTGGTGGGGTAGAAATGAGATCTTAATTCAGACCCAAATAAATTGCTCATTTTAAGGATCAATTGTTGGGGTAGGAAAAAAGAAGGTCACAATGTGGTATAGTGGGCTGGGGGGGGTGTAGGTCAATGGTAGAGCACTTGCAGAGCATGTGTGAGACTCCTAGATTCATCCCCACCACTGGGGAAAAAGGATGTGGTATAGCTTAGTCTAAGAGTATGAGAAGATGTATGGGTAGAGATACATTTGTTGATGTTAACAGAGGGATTGTGTTAAACCTTATTAATATGCTTAAAATTTTACTCTATCCAAGAGAACAGAAGACCACAGAGAAATTTTTTTTTTGTACCAGAGATTGAACCAGGGGCACTTAACTGCTGAGCTACATCCCCAGATCTTTTTATTTTTTATTTTGAGATAGGGTCTCACTATGTTACTTAGGGCCTCACTAAGTTGCTGAGGCTGTTCTCAAATTTGCAATCCTCCTGCCTCAGCTTCCTGAGCCACCGGGATCACAAGCATAAGCCACCATCCCTGGCAATCACCAAGAATTTTAAGGAAAAAGTCATAAAATTAAATCTGCATTTTAAAATTATCATTTCAGCTGCAAAATAAAGAATATATTGAAATGAGCCAAGCCTAGAGACAGTAGGGAGCTGCAAAATAAATAATATACTGAAATGAGCCAAGCCTAGAGACAGGAGGACCAATTGGCAGTAACCTAATGGTTGAAAACTCAGGGAAATTAGGTGATATTTACACCTTTGCAGGAGATACAGTAAGAGTAGGCAAATCAGACAGACAGACATGTTTCACATAAGCTATAGAAAAATCATTTGAGGACTGAGGATATAATTCAGCAGAATATGTGCTTAGCATGCACAAGGCTCATGGTTCAATCCCCAGCACCAAAAATATAAGTGATTTGAATGTTAGGATCTTAATCTTTTCATCTTCAATATTGCCATCATTCCTGGTCCTGCAGTGTTCCCCCCTCCCCTGTCATAAGTATACAGAACCTATTGTGTGCAAGACACCATGGGTTGAGTAAACTTCTAATGTTTTGAAGAAATTTAAATTACTAAACATATACCCCTTCCATTCTCAGAAGTGCCTTTCTTTGCTGGGGATGTAGTTCAGTGGTATAATGCTTGCCTAGCATGCACAAGGCTCTAGGTTCAATCCCTAACCCTGCAAAAGAAAAAAAAATGTGTCTCCTTTACAGAAAAAAAAATTATAACATTGTTTAAAAACCCTATTGGTGGGGCCGGGATTGTGGCTCAGTGGTAGAACACTTGCCTAGCATGTGTGAAGCACTGGGTTCAATCCCCAGTACCACATAAAATAATAATAATTATAATAATAATAATAATAATAATAATAATAATAATAATGGTATTGTGTCCATCTACAACTAAAAAAATTTTTTTAAAAACTATATTGGTTTCCAATAGAAGCTGAGATAGTCAATCAACAGTCTATTGACTCAATAACAGGGTTGACCATTTTCAGACTAATTGATCAACTACACAGAGGGAGTGGTCTCTCCTTTGAGGATTTTTTCCACCATCAATATTGATAAACCATAAGATCCTCCAGGCTACTTTAAAAGATTAAAATTCTCATTTGAAAACTTTTAAGGATTCCTAAATAAAGAGGACCGATAAACATCTATGATTTAATTTATTTGTGATAAGACATAAATGTTTTCAACCTAAGAATAATAACTAATTATAACACTATATCTTTTATGTGTGTATATGCACAAAATAAACATATATTTCAGTTCAGAATAACTTGAGCCAATTTTCATATAGTAACATTAGTCATAATTATCCCATACAAAAATATTCAAGGCAATAGATTCTTTTCTGTTATTGTTTAAACTGTTTTTATTGATTCTTAGAAAAGCTATACCTGAATACTTCAAACTTTATGCACTCATAAAAAAGTGATTGTTTGTTTTGAGAATATTCAATTTTTATATTTAATTTTACATCTGTAGAATTCATAAGAACACTCAAAACAATACATATTTTATAGGTATTTAGATAGATAATAGATCATCCTAGAAAAAAAAACTTGACGCTAATACTTATAATTCTGTTCTCTAAAAGATTTGAGGTTATTTGAAATTTAGAATTCATATCAGACTATGAAATTAAACTATAGACAAACATGTTTTGATAAAGGGAGCTTAGCAGAAAGGATACTTTTCAAATTCAAAGTCAACCATGGAGGTATGAGACGAGACCACTGGGATGATCAATGGCTGACGTACAAAGTAGTATGTAGTCCACGTAGTAAAGCTGGGGAGAAGTGGTTAGTGAGTTGTATAGGAAAAGTGCTCAACAGTTAGAAAAACCCAAGAAGCCAAAACAAAACAAAGCCCCAGACATATTTGATTGAAAGGGAGGAGGACCCTCAGGAAAGTAAGTTTACTGCTTACCATTAATATTGCATGTAAGACCTATAACTTAAACAGTTTCACAACACTAAATGCTAAGCATCTCCTTGCTGGAGCCTCAGTTCTACAACTCTGTTAATGTATTTGTTTGCATATATTGAGCTTCTTCAAGTGCCGTGGCCATACAAAGGCCAGAGATATAAAGCTAAAAGATGCTCAAAGGCTCTTGAGATAAAATGAAAACAAGGAAAGGAAAAATTAAAAAATATATATATATGATGTAATTGGGCAAGGCCTTGTGGGGTGCAAAGGGCTGAGAGAACATAAAAACAAGCTCTTAAGTAACTAATATTTAGTGTACATTTGCATGCCAGGCACTGAACTGAATGCTTCATATAGATTAGCTCATTAAATCTGCACAAAAATCTAAGAGTTGCAATTGTTAACCCCATTTTGTAGAGAAGGAAAGGAGGGTACAGAGAGTTCCTTTTATTTGTCCAAAGTCACACATCATTTCCAACCAGAAGTTCAGGCTGCCCTGTGCAAAATAGAGCAAATGTCTTGATAACCTTTAGTAGACTTTAATTTTCAACATGTTTTAGGTTTACAGAAAAATTGTGTTGAAAGTACAGACAGTTCCCACACACCTTCCTTTTGCTATCCCTAAACTTACTACATCCACAATTTCCCCTATTATGAACATCTTGTGTTAGTGTTGTACTTTAGTTATAGTTGATGAACCAATATTGACACATTATTATTAACAAAAGTCAATAGTCTACATTAGAGTTGCACTGTGCTGTACAGTTCTTTGGGTTTTGACAAATACATGGTGACATGTATCCATCATCACAGTATCATACAAAATAGTTTCACTGTCCCCAAAATCCCTCATGCTCCACCTACTCATCTCTCCCTCACACATCTAAATCTTGATGGTTTTACTTTCTTAATAGTTTGTGTTTGCAACCACTGATGTTTTTACATTATTAATAATTTGTATTTTATAGAATGTCATGTGGTTGAAATCCTTCAATGTGTATCCTTTTCAGAATGCCTTCTTTCTTAAAGACGTTTTATTAAGTGAAATGCATTAAGTGTGCTTTAAATTAAATGCATTAAATCTGCCAATTACTGGACAGTAATTGTCATGGTCATTTTCCTCCTAC